AACCGGGAGCATTTCACCCCTGGTTCAGACTGAATTTGGCATTTTTATCCACTTATCAAGTCCTTCCCAAGAACTTGGGATAAGCAAATGTTGATGTTTTATGATGTTAGAAGTATCGTTGCAGGATGTAAGCTGTTCCAAGTAAAGCTGCCTTTTGTAATTGACTGGTGGTGAATTTGTCAAGGCCAATGATCTTCAACTGATACTTCAGTTGCTTGGGGATTGCACCGAAAGCACCGTTTTATTATTTTTATTATTACTATCATATTAGGGGGCACATCTAAGCTATCACCTGGATTACAGTGAAATTGTTTAACCTGGTTGCAAATTGAAAATTCCCCCCCCTCCACCCACACACCAAGGGTCAAGTGATTGGCTTGGTATTGTAACCTTATATAGTCTTTATTAAGCTATTCATTATTATTAATTTATTAAGCTATTCAAAATTCTTTTTAGGGAAAATGTTAAAAATAAACCAATCTCAATTTGATGATTTCCAGTAGTGCAGTTTGAGTCTGTAAGTAAATTAGCTGCAAGCTCAGGAATATATGATAAATTCCATTTAAGGAGGTTGCATTTTTGCTGCCGATTTATTAACTGAAATTTCAAATTGTTTCTAAACATATGTTTAGCATTCACTAAAAGTGAAGATACAATTGTCAATTATATAGGAATTAATATTATATATTGCGTGGCAGTATAATTAGAGAAATTGTTGATTATATTGTCAAGAAATCTTAGTTATTTACATCTGTAGCTTTGGTTTCAGGTTGATCTGATGGTTTAAGAAGAGCTGAAAGTTTCTGAAACTGAAAATCATTTGTATTCTATATATTGATTGATCAAGCATTTGAATATCGTAAATCAATTTCATAAAGCATTTATCTCAGTCCTCTATTTTCTTATTAGCCATGGCTTTAGCATTTATATACTGTATTACATAAATCATTCAGCATATACTTACATGGGCTGTAATTTGTTTTCTCTGTCTTTGTGGATCAGGAAATTCTTCTCCAAAACATAACACAATCTGGAATCTAGGTAATGGACGTCCGTGGTGGGCAAATATTTGTAATTCTAGAAAACAAACAGAAATATTATACTTCGGAGGCTAAATTTAAGACAGTGGTGCAATAATGCATGAAAAATCATTTTACATAGATTCATCAGATTAAAGTTTTTTTAAAAAAAGAACCCTATTATCTACCTGGGTTTGAAACAAATAGATAAACCCATTTCAGTTTGCTTTTCCTTCTATCTTTAAAAAAATATTACAATTCCCTTCGTCTAGTATGATTCCAGGGCAATACACAATAATATAAAGCATACTTTTTGTTTTATACTGTACTTCCTCCCTTTAAAAAAAAGCAGAATAGCTTATAAAAAGAATAAAACAACCTAAAGTGCTTACAGATAGATAAGACAAAATTAATAAAATTTTTAGAGAATGCAACAATTAAAACAATTTCATTCTTTAAATTCACATTCTTCAAAATCGCTACAATAGCCAGTTAATGCATAAAGTTCTAGGCTAATGGCAAGCCAGAATCAGTAACACTATTTAAAATATTACATAACATCAGGGGTGGGTTCTAATTTTTTTTACTACCGGTTCTGTGGGCGTGGCTTATTTTGTGGGCGTGGCTTGGGAGTCATGTGACTAGGCGGGCCTGGCTAGCTGGTCAGAGTCATTTCTGGAAGGTCCTCGCACTTACGACCAGTCCTCACACTTACGACCCGACTCATTTGTTTGCTTTTAACACTGATCAGCTGTAGGACAGCCCTTTGAAGCACCGCAGCAAGAGTTTAAACAGTTTTTTTCCCTCTAGTCATCAGCTGGGGCTCAGGAGGCAGCAATAGATTGGGGGTGGGACCAAATAAAAGGTAAGAATAACGTGGGGGGAGGGCAGGGGGGAGAACTGGTTTGGTGACGTCATATCGTCACCGCTACCGGCTCGGCGGGACCGAAACGGGAGGAACCCACCACTGCATAACATCCAACAATCACACTAATGGCCTTTTTTTAATAAGGCAGTTGGGGGGATTATATATGTAAGAACAGAGCTCAAAGTAGGTTATGAAGTAGGTGCCAGGCATATATTTTCAGCAAGGTATCCCAATTCTTTGTGACTTTGATAGCAAAGACACCAAGAATTCAGTAATTTTAATAATAGACTTTATACAGGAAGAGAAAACCTTGTAAATATGTACACTTTTAAGAGACTGAGATCCTTGAATTTAGTCAAGAATTAATAGGTAATCCTGAGTAATTGGTTTAGAATTATGTACTGTAGTTACATTTTTGGCTGCCAAACTGTGTACTTAGGTGAAGTTTATGAAAAATGTTCACAGACATTAACACATCACAATAAACTTCAAATTAACAGATCATGAATAATCAAGACAAGATTTTAACTCTAAAGACAGCAGTAGCTAGCAATCCATCATTGAATTTAACTGGACTTCTAGTAGCAAAAATTGGATTTAGGAATGTGCCTAAAATATGACTTCCTCTCTCAAGAGAAGTGTAACTATATCTTAAAATAGTGGAACTCAGATGCTACAAATAAAAAAACTCTCTCTTTGAAGTTATACTGATATCTCATCAGTATTCAGCTTAGAGGCATCTGCAGGTGATAGAGGACAAGTGGAGTGAATGACAAAATTATTAACACACTATTATAACCAAAATATTTCCCCTTTATTTCATAAATTCTGATGTCACATATATGTGTGAAAGGGACAGAGCTTGTATCCTGATGGCATCATGCTGCTATTGTAATTTTGATTAAAGCTTTCAACACTGTGGACTCTTTAATTTAGCTGTATTGTTTTGGCAGTCATATGGTTCAGTACTCAATATGGGCACTAGTCCACCTCCTCCTTTTCTTTTTAATAAATTTTATATCAAAGCTTTATTTAGAGCTCCACAAGGTAGGCCACACAATGGTGGAATTCAAACTTTTTTACTACTGGTTCTGTGGGCATGGCCTGGTGGGCGTGGCGTGGCTTGGTGGGCAGGGCAGGATACTGCAAAATCTCCATTCCCACCTCACTCCTGAGGGAAGGATATTGCAAAATCTCCATTCCGACCCCACTCTGGGGCCAGCCAGAAGTGGTATTTGCCGGTTCTCCAAACTACTCAAAATTTCTGCTACTGGTTCTCCAGAACCTGTCAGAACCTGCCGAATAGCACCCCTGAGGCCACAGCAGAAAATCAATTTCAAAGAAGGCTAAGACTACTTTTATTGAGATTGGTTATAACAGAATCTTGAAAGTCAGATTGTGCTACACCTCTTCTTAAAATTCAGTGAATTATGGAGGTGTCTGCCTGAGATAGTTCCAGATATTATCTCATAGATCTGGACTTAAAAATGGTTCAGACACTCCTGCCTAGATAACACTTTTTGTTCATCTCCATTAAGGTCATCCTCCTTGCTCTCTACATTTATGCATTAATCTTGGCAAAAATAACAAATAATGTGAATTAGAGTGAGAAAATGCAGAACACTATAGGAGAAATGGGAGATTGGCTGTATTAAACTTCACAGAAAAGGAAGAAAATGAGGCCCACCACAATTATTTTTCTGCGGTAGCTATGTGTTCATGTAATAAAGTTTTACATAAATCAAAAAGACTATGCTCAAATAACATGTCTAATATAATATTTATCAGATTTTAAAAAATGAAAGTGACAACATATTTTAAAAGTTCTTGTGTAAAGGTAAAGGTTCCCTTCGCACATATGTGCTAGTCGTTCCCGACTCTAGGGGGCAGGGCTCATCTCCGTTTCAAAGCCGAAGAGCCAGCACTGTCCGAAGACGTCTCTGTGGTCATGTGGCTGGCATGACTAAAAGCCAAAGGCGCATGGAATGCTGTTATCTTCCCACCAAGGTGGTCCCCATTTTTCAGGGGTGAAATCTAAAATTTGTTACTACCAGTTCTGTGGGCGTGGCTTGGTGGGGGGGTGGTAATGTGACTGGGTGGGCGGGGCCAACTTTTTTTTTTTTTTTACTTTTAAAAGCATTTTTTCTACAACCTCTTCAGCTGAAGAGGTTGCAGAAAAAATTGCTTTTAAAAGCCTCTGACGATCAGGCAACTCAGCTGGGATCGCCAGAGGCTTTTAAAAGCATTTTTTTTTCTACAACCTCTTCGGCCGAAGAGGTTGCAGAAAAAAATGCTTTTAGAAACCTCTGACAATCCCAGCTGAGCCGCGCGATCATCAGAGGCTTTTTTTTTTACTTTTAAAAGCATTTTTTCAGCCGAAGAGGTTATAGAAAAAATACTTTTAAAAGTAAAAAAAAACAGCCTCTGATGATCTTGCGGCTCAGCTGGGCATGGGGGGGGGGCGTGCAGGGATTTTTGCTACCAGTTCTCCAAACCACCCGCCGCCATTGCTACCAGATCGGGCGATCCTGTCCGAACTGGGAGCATTTCACCCCTGCTATTTTTTTACTTGCATTTTTTATGTGCTTTCAAACTGCTAGGTTGGCAGAAGCTGGGACAAGTAATGGGAGCTCACCCCGTTACGCGGCATTAGGGATTCGGATCGCTGAACTGCCGACCTTTCGATCGACGAGCTCAGCATCTTAGCCACTGACCCACCGCATCCCTGCTTGTTCTTGTTCTGTTCTGTTGTTGCTGTTCTTGTGTACAATGCAATATATTAGAAAAAGGATTACATTCTGTCAATTCTAGAATCATCTATTACTGGGGCATAATAAATCTTAATCAGAGTAAGAGGTTCGTCATATCCCCAACAGAGCTGGGTTTTCAAAACAAACCTCCAAATTCTAACTATATTGCACATCTAAATGAAAATCAACAAATATTTAAAACCCTGATGCATTTTGAATGTATGTATGGAAATGGGTTTATCTACTACCAAAGCAGAAAAGCTGGGGAAAGGGTAAAGAGAGGCTGGGTTTCAGATACTGTGGAAGCCCAGAGGCTGGAGTTCAAACTTGATAGGATAGAGCATAGTGGTGGGTTGCTACCAGTTTGCCCTGGTTACAGTGAACCGGTAGTAGCAGTGGCGGGAGGCTCCTCCCACCCACCCAGACACATCAAATACACTCTGCGCATGCGAAGGTAAGTGAAACCCACCACTGATAGAGCAGCTGCAAATTCTATGTGTGGTTAGAGGAAGGCAATGTTTGAAACAACAAAAGAACCAATTTTAAGGTCAAAGTCTTAATTGCATTGGTAACTTATATTTAAAAAAATTACCTGATAAAAATTTCTGAGTATCAAAAAGCTTGCACGTCTGCTCTCTTTCCAGTTTGTTAGGCCGGTCACTGCAGAATGCCAAAGGCCCATCCCAATATATCCTGCTTTGACAAAGTCTCTTAGCATAGAGGCCATCGTGGGTCATCCAGAGTATTACTCCTCTTTCCAGGTGAGAAAGCAATTTTTCAGTCGTTTTTCTCTGGTTATGATCTTCTGGATAAGGGAACATAACTTGGTCCATGCCACTGACCTCATAGCTATGACCGTGAGATATCCTACAGCCCTCAGGACTTGAAGTTGTGACTTCTTTTACAAGAGTTTCATGATAATACAAACAGATGTGCAATCGACAATCTGAAAACATATTGATGCAAAGTTATTTTTAACATTTGGTATTGGGCAGCTTTACTTCCTATAGTTTAGCAGTATAATGGGCTTGAGAGATAAGTTTTCATCCATTCCTTATTTACTGAATAAACATTATAGCAAAACCTGTCAGAAACAAGTTCCACTCTGTTCAATGGAACTCTGTGAAAATAAAAGGCATAAGGCCATATTCTGAATCTCAGGTTAACATTTACTGTGGAAATTATAATTATTGCTCCTTCAAAGATGCTGTGATAGAGATGATATCAGATAAAGAATAACTGAATTCAAATATTGCATAAAGTAATATTTAGTTTTGGCATAATGCATTGTGAACCAGTGGTGGGTTGCCCCCGGTTCGGACTGGTTCTATAGAACCGGTAGTAAAACCGGTGGGAGGCTCCGCCCACTGACCCGGATGTCATCAGAAGCAATCTGCGCATGCTTCTGCACATGCGCAGGAGAGAGCACGCGGGCACGATCCAAACCAGTAGTAAAGATAAGTAGAACCCACTCCTGGTGTGAACTCAAAATACTGTAGCTTACTCAACAAATCATTGTTAAGCCTATTTTACCTTAGCATGAATCCAATGAATATATGTGCATGTGTGTGTATATAACTACATGTTAAAATAGCTAAACTATTCCATACAATATTTAATAAAGCTAACCTCTGCTACATTCAGTAATGCCAATAGGCTGTATTGTGTGATATTGGAGTATGATTTCTTGGTTTATTAAGAACCACGCTATGGGCTCATTTATAGCACAGATGAAAAACTACTTAGCACTATCATAGCTTGAAGAAATATAGCCAAAGAAAATATGTGTAATGTGAGAATAATCATAGCTTTAAATAGTGCTACAAAGTAAAGGACCTAAAATCCCTGAAAAATGATTTCCTGCTCATTCACCAACTGAAGTATTCAGTAAATATCAATTCTCCCTGTTAGGCAATAGTGTAAACAGCTATGAACCATATTCTGGGGAATAAGAAAAGATCTGTTTGTAAATTAAATTAGGAAGTGGCCAAGCAAAAGGAGTTTTATATTAACTGAATTGCTTCAAAAAACTATGGTAATCTCAGAGTTCTGGACAAAATTGCATACCTAAATAGAATCTTCACTTTCTGGTAGACTACAGAACAGCATTTGTATTTAATGAGATAATCAAAACATTATTTCTAATATTATACACTTTAATCAATTTAATATGCATGCTGTGTAAATAATATTTTTTAATATAATTTTTTTCATATTTTACAATCCATTTGCTCCTAGTAAAATCAGCTTGTAGCAATTAACAGTATAAGACAGCATCAGCAGTAAACTCTAACAATTACAAAGTAATAATTACATTCATAAAATGCAACATAAAATGCACCAATAATATAAAATAATAGATTTTTTTAAAAAAAAACTACAAGCACAATCCAACAACCATCCATAAAACCATAATCCTAAATGGAGGTATACAATAGATTTTTAGGCTCTTCTTGAAGGGAAGTAGGACAGATAGGAAATGATCATTACAAGCAGAAGGGAATTCCACAAAGAAGGTGCCACTACGAAAAAGGCATTTAGCCCTGTATATTCTAACCATTCTTTGAAGTATTATTTCTGGCCATCAACCACAAGAAGCCTTTTGAAGATTCCTGGCACTTCTCATTTGTAATATAACATAGTGTAATAAAATTCTCAAATAAATAAATTTTTTATTTATTAATAAAGATTAATAAATATAGATTAATAAATTAATCTATAATTAGAATTTTTACTGCCCTCCCCCAAAAGATTTGTTGATTTGTATCCTACCTTTATTATTTTTATAAATAATTCAAGGCAACAAACATATCCAGCACCCCTTCCTCCTCCTATTTTCTCCTTAACAACAACCCTGTAAGGTGGATTGCGATGAGAGAGAGTGACCACCCCAAAATTCATCCAGCTAGTTTTCATGGCTAAGGCAGGATTTGAACTCCCAGTCTCCTGGTTTCTAACCTGGTGCCTTAACCACCAGACCAAATTTACTATGCATTCTTTTCTAAATTCTATCTGACATACAGAATGACTTTAAGGCAGTTTTGACAATTTTTAGAGTCAATTTGTGACTCTAACAACTGCCTGGACTAGTCTCTGCAGTTTTCTTGGCAAGATTTTGGAAGTAGTTCGCTATACCTAACTTCTTAGGGATGAGAAACTGTGACTGGCCGAAGGTCACTTAGCATACCTCCTGCCTAAGGTGAGACTAGAACTCATGATCCCAGCTTCTAGCCTGATGCCTTAACCACTACACCCTATTGGCTTTCTTTCAATTAAATGTGCATGTATTTAAATACAGAAGAACAAATGGAGATGAATATTCACTTTTTATCCTTCTGGGTTCATATGGGGATATTTATGAACATTTTTTCAATCAGAAGTTCGCTGTGATTTATTAGATTGTGATGGTATACATACCTGACAAGGGAAGAGCTTCACTAGTTCTGATGTTTCCCTCTATTGGGATTCCAGAAGTCTGCGTCTCAGGTGGTGCACAAGCATAAAAAGTCCCAGTTACTTGACAACCTACTTTCATAGCAAAAAAAAAAAAAAAAATGTTTTCACAAAGCAAAATGAACATGACTGAACAGCCAATAACATTCAAAACTTTCATCTGCTAGAATGGAAACAATTATCAATATGTAATACTCTCACTCCTGTAAATATTGTTGATTGTTCATTCTTAAAATTGATACATTTTCCTTATTAAATCATGGCTCCTTTGGTGAATCATCTGAAGACCTTCCCACTAACTGACTGTGTGTAACCTCTATAAATCATAATGCTTTTATCCCATCTGCACAATACTATGAACACAGGAACTGAGGAGCTGGATGATGGGAAGAATAACTAAATAGGGGTGCTTTGTCCAGTTTAATTCATATTAGTATTACAGTCATAACAAGATTGGATAACTCTTCTCATTCTCTACTTTATCACAAGTAATGGTTTTTGGACTGACTTAGACACACAAGGAATTTGTTTCCGGTGCGTAAGCTGTCAAAATCTCCATATTTGGGAAGTTAGAATGATATTAATAGGTGACAGTTCCATTAATGACAGGAGATGATTTGTCTTATACAAAAACATTATGCTTTGATGCTCTGGGTGATAAATTCAGACTGCAAGTATCCATTTTCTCCCACAATAAAAACAGATCGTAGCATCATTTCCTTCCAGAATCCAGGAAATCTGCATCTTATCCAATCCCTTATCAATCCCTTATCACAAAATTTGCACAAGTAGACTGCAACCATGGCGAAGTGCATAAGTATACACCATTCAACAAGTATTATAACATTTTGTTAATATCAGTCAAAAAATTGACAAGTAACTTATCAATCACTAAAATCCATGCAGTTCAGAACTGCTTAATTTTTGTTGCACTGTGCCTAATGCTAGTTTATTTGTACTGCATTAAAATTGATCAGATCTGTTGATAAATAAGCATATAGAGAACAGACAAAGAAAGAAACAAAGCATTATCTTTTGTCTATTTAGTTTTGTGCAACTTTTTAAGTTTATGAAGGTAAAGAATAAACTGTTCTCATGGTAACTAAAAACCTTGAATACATTAGTAATCAGAAGTTGGCTGTTCTTCCTTATCTGCTTTGTTTTATCTTTTATTTTAGATTTGCACAGTAAAGCACTCCAATTTTCACTGAGAATATAAAATTTGTTTTATGCATTTAGTTACCTGCATAATGTAAAACACACTTAACTGTTTTTAATAGATTCAGGAGTGCTAAACTATTCAAGTCACTTTCCTTTCCCTGAAATTTGATATAAAAGCACTTTCCTTAGGCTGTATCATAATGTTCCTCTTTATATTGTGCCAACTTCTTGCAAATATAGGAACTGTGAGATACATAGAAAGTTCTGCCCTTGCCAGAATTACCTCACTCATTTTAGTAGAGATGAAAACTACATGGAAGGCAAAGTATGCATGGATTTCTACCCTCTGCTGAAGTAAACAAATCCAGTTTTTTTAACATTTTCCTTTTCTTGGCTTGGATGCAGATGGAATCCTAAATCAGGAAACATCCGCTATTTATTTCATAATGTAAATAAAAATACCCTGAAACTCTATTGAACACAATAAAAATTTCTTACCATTCTGACATGATGGACTTTGCCAGTGATGATTACGAGGTGGAAAAGAGACACTTGTACACTGGTATGAAAGATCAGGATGGGACTGCTCTGGTACGTATTCCCTCCAGTTACGCTCATGAGGTACCATGTAGTTTGGAACCTGTATATTTTATTAAAATATAACATATCTTATTTGCAGCCATTTACTAAATTAATCAGTGATAAGTCATTTTCAGCTTTCTAATTATATACCCTCTTCGGTTTATCTGTAAAATGAAAACTCAAGACAAGCACAATATTGAGCTTGCTTATAGGTAATAAAGAGTTTCTGGAGAGACACAGCTATATCTCATTAATATACAAGCTTATGGGTGTCTCTTCCCACTGAATTCAGGCACCTCTCTTCCTGGTAAATAAAATAGGATTAGAACTCAATTATTATCCTTTTACTTCCATCAGGCTTAAACACACACAAACACACATACCCCATTGAAACTGAATCCAGTTAATATCTAATATATCCAAAGCAGTGAAGACTCAATAATTCCTAAAATTCATTATATGATTGGAGAGAATAAACCTTTATTTTCCAGATGACAATGCTTCATGTCCTTCTCAAATGTTTATTCTTCCTGTGAAGGCCCCGTTTACTGTAGGTATATTTGTAATGTACAGGTAGTCCTTGACTTGCAACCACAATTGTGTCCAAAGTTGCTAAGTGAGACATTTGTTAAGTGAATTTTGCCCCATTTTATGACCTTTCTTGCTACATTTGTTAAGTGAATCATGGCTGTTGTTAAATTAGGAGCATGGTTGTTAGGTGAATCTGGCTTCCTCATTGACTTTGCTTGTCAGAAGGTTGCAAAAGGTGATCACACTGAAACCGTCATAAATATGAACTAGTTGCCAAGCCGCTGAATTTTGATCACGTGACTATGGGGGTGCTGCAATGGTCTTAAAAATGGTCATAAGTCACTTTTTTCAGTGCTGTTGTAACTTTGAACAGTCATTAAACAAACGGTTGTAAGTTGAGGACTACCTTTATGTGCAATGTTTCATGGAAATACAAGGGACTCGGAGGGGACTTTAAACTTATAATGTATTGAATATATAAAGTGACAGCTACTGACAGTAAAGAATGTATTGAAGCAGTTGAACAATTTATGCCATGAATACAACTGCACAAATTTGGTGCTATTATTGAAAAGCAAAAATAAAATACTTCTAACAGGAGAAATGAAATGAAATATGGTAAGAGTTATAATACTGATCAAAATCTATCACAAGAACACCTATAAAATCCTTTGAAAATATTAGGTTATATTGGATAGCTTTGGTGGCCATTTGTTTTCATTCTTATCCTCATAGTACAAGGGAAAAAACAAACATGTCATCTCTACATTTTCATTCTCCAAGATACAAAACTAAAACAAATTCAAGGGTCATACCTGAGGCTGTAGTGCAGAATATGATGAATTCAGAGTGAAAGCGTTGTTCATAATCATCTGTGGATCTTCCATGCTAAGTTGTTTTGATCCTGTAAATTATTTGTAGACAGAAACAGGGTGATTTATGTAACTTTGTAAAAAATAGTATCTTGGGAGTATTTAAAAATGAAATCCCTACTGTTAATTTATAGCAGAAATAATAGTTCAGGCCACTTTGTAGATACAAAGTTCATTTGTATTGTTACAAAAAAGACAGAAATCTAAAATGTGCAATGAAAAAACATATATATATATATCAGTGGTGGGTTTCAACCGGTGTTACCACCGGTTTGTGTCACACATACGCTTTGCGTGCACTTTGCACATGCATGCTTGCTTCTCTCATACTCACGCAGAACTTGCGCTGTGCGCAAGTGCATTGAATTTCAGAACAGCTGAAGCATGGCAACCCACTCTGCTGCACCTATCAGCTGGGCTAAAAAATGAACGGATATAGGTAGGTATAGCTCAGGGGCAGGCGGGAGGGCCCAACTGATAGTTGGAGCGAACCAGTTCGCTCTCACCTCACCATCTCCGCTACCGGCTTTGCCCGATCCGGGGAGAACTGATAGCAACCCACCACTGATATACATGCACATAGACATACATACATATATACAATTACCTTCATCACATTTGACAAAAAAATCTGGTTGAGTATTCTTAGGTTTTGAATCCTGAATTTTTTAAAACTCTGTTCACTCTTTTTTTCCCCTATATCCCTTCTCACATGCAAGGAACCAGTAATCATATATGTCCCCATAATGTCTTAGGGCATCCAATCATCTTGGAAAGCTAAGTTAATTAACTAGCAGAGTTAATTGGCTGACCTCCTGTTCCACTGCAATATTCTACAGTGCTTTCTGTGATCTATGAATTGGGTAACTTTCTTCTCTTGGCAAATCCTGCTTCCAGAATTCTTTCTCCTCTCCCTCTTCCAGAAACTGGAGATTCTCCCCACTCTCTCTGATCCAAAAAACCAAACTTGTTGAGATGAAAAGCAAGGATGTGGGCAATGTGTTGGTTGACTTTTGGTGGGTTTTTTTTTTTTGGACTATTGGATATCTGGCTGGCCCAAGGAAATGAAATTCAGGGGTGGGGAAAACAGTGGTACAGCACAGAAATTATTGTTATGGTGAGAGAGGTAAAGCTGGTGCCCATATGGAAGAGAAATAAGACTCCAAGTGTCTATGGAGATTCTCAGTCATTCAGGTCATGGTTGTCCCAAAGGTGCTTTTTCAAGAGGCAACTGGGCTTTCTGGTTTTTCTTTGAAGACGTTTCACTTCTCATCCAAGAAGCTTCAGAGCTGAAGAAGCTTCTTGGATGAGAAGTCAAACGTCTTCAAAGAAAAACCAGAAAGTCCAGTTGCCTCTTGAAAAAGTACCTTTGGAATAAGACTCCAAGTTTGAAAGGGGAAAAGCAGGTATTAATGTAATAGTATGGGATAGTATGAGTTGGAAGGGATTTTGGAGATCTTCTCGTCCAAACCCTCTCCCTCCGATCAAGCTGGAGACCCTGTACCATTCCAGACAAATGGTTGTCCAATCTCTTCTTTAAAACCTCTAGTGTTGGAGCACCTAGAATGTCTGGAGGCAACCCATTCCATTGATTAATTGTTCCCATTGTCAGGAAATTTCTCCTTGGTTCCAGGCTGGATCTCTATTTAATAAGTTTCCATATGTTACTTTTTTGCCCTGCGCATAGGGGATGGAGAGTAGGTCAACCCCTTCTACTTTGACAGCCCCTCAAATGTTGGAAAATTGCTGTCAAGGCCTTCTCTTCTTCAAACTACAGTTCCTGCAACCGTTCATTGTATGTTTTATCCACCAATCCCCTACATCAATGATGGCTAACCTTTTTGCCATCGCGTGCCAAAAGTGGGTGTCGTGCTGGGAGGTTGTGTGGGCGTGTGCCCAAACCCATAATTCAATGCCCCCTGTTCCCACACACACCCACATGCATGCGATGGCAAAAAGGTTAGCGGTGGGCCCGGTAAGCCTGTTTGTCGCCCTCCCCAGGCTCCAGAGGCTTTCTTGGAGCCTGAGTTGGGCAAAAACGGCCTTCCCCACACCTCAGAGGCCCTCCAGAGGCCAGAAACAGCCCATTTCCCAACTTCCGGTGGGCCTGGAAGGCCTCTAAAAATCAGCTGGCTGGTGCACACATGCGTGCTGGAAGTGACCTAGGGCAACACTCATGTGCCCACAGATATGGCTCTGCATGCCACCTGTGGCACACATGCCATAGGTTCGCCATCATGGCCCTAAATCATCTTTATTGCTCTTCTCTACACCCTTTCTAGATTATCAACATCTTTTTTGTAGCTCTAGGCTATTAACTAGTGAGGAGTATCATACTCAAATCCCCAATAAAGGATAAACACTGATTGTCAGATCACTTTTAAGATGCTGTCCTACCTTTTTTTGCTCCTTCTGGTACTATTCTATATACTTTATATGGATCTGATATGTCCAGTTGGCTTCTTTCAACCAGTTCTTCAAAATCATTGCTTTTGTTCAGAGCACAACGGAGTCTCGTCTTCCAAGTGGGAGGATCTGGTTTATCAATACCTTCTCTGAACTTCCCTTTAAACAGAGCCCAGGCCTGAAAATATTTGCAGAAATTGATTAAAAAAATGAAATCCTCCAGAACCGCTTGTGGCATTAACAACAATGATATTAATATCACAATAATAAATATATTCCATATAAAAAAATTCCTAGACCTATCATGGGTCATGTTATGTGATTTGTACTTTCCTTCTGGTAGTTGTGTCTAGAATCTAATTGTCAGTGTAGGACAACCCTTGAGCAAATCCAGCAGTAATTAGACACAGTTTCAAGATTCATTATATCTCTTTCACTTCTATAAGAACTAGGTGGTGTGACTTTTTCAAAAACTTAATATTTGTGATACATCCTTAACCACTTCAAGTTTTCCTTGCAGGGATATGGCAACCAAAGTAGGTGCAGAAAACTTACAGCATCTTCTATAAATTGTGTAACATCTAAACCAACCTTGAACCCAGATGGCAGAAAGTAAAAACTATAATAGAGAGAAAGCAATGTGTACTCAATAAACAAGTGTACTAATGTTAAATGTGATGGTTGAATAACTAAGGAGAAAGATTGTGCCATATGAATTCTACCAGTAGGGTATAGAGTCGCTTTAAAAAAAATACTTACTATTAAAAGTAATTAGCTGAACTCATTTTAGCAGAAATTTAACAGCATTGCTTCAGGTAATACTCCTCAATAACAATATAAACAAGGGAGTTTTAGAAATAAATTCTTACTAAACAGTTATGGCGCTTGCTGAAGTTAATGAAAAAGTCTGCAATCCTATTCAAAATTATACACAAGTCCAATTGATATCTATGGGATTAAAGTATATGCAACTGTGATGAGGCTTGCAGACCTAATGAATTAAGCCTTGGGGCAATTAATCAAATGAGAAAAAAAGAAATTATACAGCGTGGTAGGAATCTGCCAAGTGTGACAGAAAAGCATTTTAGTTCAGCAACATCTTGGATGTAAGTTGAAGAAAGAAAATAGGATAGTATTGTCAGTAATTTAAGTTAAGGGTGAGATCTCCCAACTGGAACTATATGCAAAATAGCAGCTCAGAAATAAGGGTGGATGCCCAGAGGATTAAGGAGCAAGGCAGTTCTAAGTGCATTGCAAGCCAGGAATTTGTTTTTAGCAGCAAAACTGAGCTCATGCCACATTCATACAAAACCCATATCTAGTCCCCTTCCCTCAAGCTTTACTCATTAAAACACCCTGATGTTGAGGGTGATGGAAGTGCTATAAAGCCACCTGAAACTCAAAAAGCCCCTTTTGATCTACTGCAAAACTTAATCTATCTTTTTCCTGTAATTTCCATGACCTTTTGCTTGCAAGAATTGCCCTAATTTTATTTTTAAAAAAGGTGCTTAATTCTAGTATTTGATGATATTTTTTTTCTTGTTTTAGTGTGTACTCCTGGACAGGTTGTAAATACAATTTGTGACAATTCCCATTTTAAGCCTACAGCTTCAGAGAAGGTTTTGTTATATTGGGAACTTAATCACACGACTTTAGTAGATGGCATCTGGAATTCAATTTGAGAAACCTGGATTCAAATTCCAGATAAGTCATTTAATTTGTTGGGTATCCTTTGTTAGTGAGCCTCACAGGTCTTCTATTTTGTTGTGGACACAAAAACTGGATTCATTCTTTGGGCACATTGAATTCACAATATGCAGGTTGAAATGAATCCTAGGTTTCAAGAATTAACTCTGATGATCTCACCATTATTACCAAGCTCCATCTTACCACTACTGCCAAGTAGATAAAAGCTGCAAATCCCATAATCTCATAGGTGGTTTTTTTTCTCTCCCCTAGAGTTAATACTAAGTAAAGCAATCATAAAACTGACTGGCCTTGTCGACTCCAACTAATATCAGAATACCTCGCCTTTCTCTACAACATTCATTTTTGGGTGCGGGATGCACAAGATCCACTTTGTGAGGGGAAAATAAAAGTATCTGATTTTCCAAAATCTGTTGAAGGAAGACCATTCACCTACATGGAAATTGTTCCCAACCGAACACACCACCTTCTTAATGCCTCCCATTGCCCGCAATCAGAACGAAGGTGAGGCTACTACAGTGAGTAGTAGTGAGTACTCACTACTATTTCTTTGGGGGGTGGGGGGGGGGGGGAGCGGGAAGGGAAAACCTGCAAAAAGGGAGAAATCTGAAGCAAGTTCATCAAGAAAGGGAAAATGATAAAGAAAGGAAAAATCAAGACCAAAACCCAGAACATAAATAATTAAATTAATCTCAAGGGCAGCTTTTTGGGGTTTGTTTGTTGTTGTTTTTTTAAAAAACCTGTGCTTCATAATAAAGAGCACAAGGTCACTATAAAGGTAGCAGTAGAGAAGAAAGCTTAGAGAAGAAAACTGGGGCCATTCTCCACAGAGAGAGAGAGAGAGATATAAGAGAGACATCTTTCTGAGGGAGGTTGCCTCCAACTCCTACAAGCAGGTGCCACCCGGCTCCTTCAACCGGCTTCCCGCAATCCTACGAACTCAGGTCGGGTGGCTTGGGCGAGCGATTTGATTGACGGCTCCTCGCGCCCCCTTCCAACTCACCTCGCGCCACCACCACCCCGCCCCTCCTCTCCGGCGTACCTTGAAGAGAGCGGCGTCTTCCTCGCGGTTGTAGTCCTGTTTGCCCGCGTGCTTCCAAGGGATGCGAAAGATGCTCTTCTCCTCGTTCTCCCATATCAAGCCCGGGTATTTAGAGCTGTCAATCTGCTCGATCAGCCACTGGCGGAGTTTCCCGTTGCCGCAGCTCACCGAGCTCATGCCGCCGCCTTCGATGCTGCTGCCGCTGTTGCCGCTGCCTTCTAAGTTCATACCAGGCGCGCCGCCAGCCTCGGCTCCTCCTGCTCCTCCCCTGACGAAGGAAGGAAGGAAGAGGTTGGGGGGGGGGGGAAGAGGAGGAGGAGGAGAGTGAGCGGCCCCGCTCTGTCACGTGCCGGGCCTCAGCCCGGGCGCGCACGTCAGTTCCAGACAAAAGTCCGCCGCGCTTTCCCGCTCGCCGAGCCGCCGCGCTTTTCTCCACACGGAGGAGGCGGGTGAACCTGCCGCCGCCTCGAGCGCGAGGGAAAGCCTCGGCGCCCCCCCCCCGCCCCCCGAGTTACCGTTTCCAGGAAAAGCTCCCCGCGCTCTCTCAAGTTTCCTCCCTTCCCCTGTTATTTGCTGGGCCGCCTCTTCTCTGCAAACGCGGTTTCAGTTAAAAAAAAACACACAAAACCTCGTCACACCAAAACCTTGCTTAGCTCGGCTGCCGGGCTGAGAGCACTTATTTAATGGGCGCTGCGGTTGTGTGTCTGTGTGTATTTGAACTTTGGGGTTCGAGCCCAACAGGCTTCCTCTACCTATAATAGCCTTTGAGCCGCTCGGGTTGGTGTTTACGGGACGAGCAGTTGGAAACGCCCGTCGGAATCCGTGCGCCTTAACCATTCAGTGACTGCGGCTTTTCGGGGCTTCCAAGCCAGTCTTGGTGGAGCTGTTTTAAGCACCAAGCTACGTAGAACCTCGGGAGGCCGCGAGTTCTAGTCCCGCTTTAAAGCACCAAGCTAACTGGATGCCAACTTGGGCCAGCCGCTCTCTCCTCTCTCTCTTTCTCTCAGCCTTAAGGAAGAAGGCAATAATGGCAAACCACTTCGGAAAATCTTGCCAAGGAAAACTGGAGGGAAGGATCCAGGCGGTCACCAGGAATAAATAATTTTTTAAAAACCCTGATTTAGGCACCTCCTCTCCCCCAAAAGCCAATCTGGAGAAGGCCAGCCTTTGAATCTTCTACGTGTAGCTACCCTCGCTAAATCATTCACTATAGATCGCCTGCTATACAATCCTATGTAGGCGCGTGTGCACCCACAAACACACAACAGAAGTCTTCGGATTAGTTGGTGGTTGGTGTGTTTTTCTTTTCGCTATCCCTCTACACTATAGCAAAGCCTCCTGCCCCAATCAACCAATCAATCAATGATTCCACCAGCATCAACCGCCCTCCTCATATTAAGTTTCAACGACTAGATCTACAGCTGTTTCTCTCCTCTAGGTCCCTTCTTCCAGAGGCTGCAGGGCGACGGCCTTCCTTCAACCACCGGTTCCATCCCTACCTTCTCGCTCTGTAGGACTAACTCGCCGTTTCCCGAATCTTCACTTTCTTCTCCGCATTTGCTTTCCCTTCCTCTCCCTCCTCTCTTTCTCTTCCTTCCACTACGAGAATCAAAAAAACCTTATAGTTTCAAAGGTGGTGCCCCAAACAAAAAAAGCAGGCTCTGCCTTTCCGGGCACTTTCTGCTGAAATCCAGTTTTTTTTTTTTTTTGCTCGCAAACCTGCACCGACGAGGCTTCGGCGTACTCCTCGTCTGTTAGCATTTTTTTTCCATAGGGAGAAGCACTGCGCACACAGTTCCCTTCTCTCCTACACATACATACAACTTCCTCTCGACATACCTTGTTTGACGCTCATTCTCTCCAGAGACCTGCGGTTGTTCCTTTTTACCCCCAGGAGCAAAACACCGCCCCTCTCTTTCTAACCCACCCATCTGGCCGTGTTTCAGTTTCTTGCCTCCCACTCTTCGCCATTCCTCAGACAGAACCCAGTTTCTCTCTCTCTTTCTCTCTCTTTCTCTCTCTCTGTCTCTCTCTCGCTCCCTCCTTACCCGCTCTCCTTCTCCCCTCCCCCTCTTTCCCTCTCTTTTTCTCCCTCTCATTTTCTCTCATTCTCTCTCTTCCTCTCTTCCTCTCCTTCTCTTTCTCTCTCTCCCTCTCATTCTCTCTCCCCCTCTTTCTCTCATCCCCTCTCTCCCTCCCTTTCTCTCCCTCTCCCCTCCCCCTTTCCTTCTCTTCCTCTCCTTCTCTCTTCCTCTCCTTCTCTTTCTCTCTCTCCCTCCCCTCCCTCCCTCCCTCTCCTTCTCCCTCTCCCTCTCCCCTGCCCCTCTCTCCCTCATTCTCTCTCCCTCCCCTCTCTGTCTCCCTCTCCTTCTCCCCTGCCCCTCTCTCCTTTTTTCTCTTTCTCTTTCTCTCTCTCCCTCTCATTGCCTTATTCTCTCTCTCTCCCTCATTCTCTCCCCCCTCTTTCTCTCTTTCTCTCTTTCTCTCATTCTCTCTCCCCTCTCCCTCCCTCTCTTTCTCCCTCTCACTCTCTCCTGCCGCCCTCTTTCTCTACCTCTCTTTCTCTCCCTCTCGTTCTCTTATTCTCCCTCTCTCTCTCTCTCATTCTCCCTCTCTTTCGCTCTCCCTTCCTAGATTTGCAGGTCGCTCTTCTCTCTTTTTCACCCACCAACCCCAGCCGCCGAGTCTCGCTACCTCTCCCTTCCCACGTACTGGCACCCTGGCCTTTCTGCGGGGAAACTCCTCACATTTACCCGCCACAACGCCGACCGTCAATGCCTTCCCCCACTCTCGTGGTTAGGAAAGAGGGGACGGTGGCGGCATTTCTGCCCTTTTTTACATTGCACACCTCCCAAAAGTGCCTCCGCGAGTTTCTTCCCCCTTCAGGACTCATTTCCTCGCAAGAGCCCGAGACTTCGGGGGATTCTCCGCTGCGGCTTTAGCGCCTCTGCACCAGCAAGGTTGCCTTGGGGCATTTCGGTCCCCTTCGGCCGAATTCGGCAGGATGAGTGTCAGGACTCGCTCCGCTGCAGGAAAAAGTAATCAGGCGCCCACCATCCGGAGCGCATCTTTACTGAGAATGTGTCAACGGGGCAGTCCAGAAAGGACCACAGCCCCCACCCTTCCCACCCGTAGACTCCAAGCACGAGGTTAGGGGGCGCGCCAGCCTTCGCCAACCTGCTCCTATAACAAACAGGGTCAAAATCTTGGCGCGACGGCTGAAAGAGAAGTGAATTTGCTGCCTCTTCGAGATATTTATAAAAGTCCGCATGGCTACGACTGCAGTTTATAAAGCAACAAAACCAGGAAAGGGGGTTGGATTTCAAAGGAAAGCCCATTTCAATGGCCAGCTAGATACTTCGAAAACCTCGGTCTCTCTCCCCCATCCCACGCCCGACTCCTTGGGTGGCTATTAAAAGGAAATTTCTATCCGTGAACGTGGGAGGCTGCTCCGATCAAAGTCATAAGACTTTGGCCATCTGAGTTGCCTGTGCGCTTTGATAGAGCCGCCTAACCTGAGCAGACGCCTCGCGCCATCAGGAAACGAAGGCTATAGAGGAGGAGGAGGAGGAGGGTTCAATTTTACAGCGAAGGTCTTTATACAGTATTAAGGGAAGCCGTTCTGGAAATGGGAAAAACCAGGTAAGAAGAGGCTGCCATCCTGCCATTTTCTTTCTTTTTATCCTAAACTCTCTGGGCAAAATGTGGAGAGGGGAAAGCAGAAAGGAAAGTATGGGTCAAGCTTCTTACACGGAGTTGGCAAAGGCATCTCTAATGATGCTGGTTTGGGGGGTATTTCAAAGCCTTTTAGGTCGCTCACCGCCTTCCCCACCTTGGGGGCTGCAGGTTGTGGATTTCACCTTCACTAATCCCAGGCCTGACCCCTGGTGAATTGGGGGCCGGTTTATTCATTCGTTGGTAAGGAATTCAAATGGTAAGGAATTCCATGTAGGATCATGGTCTACGAGGCGCTTTAGTGTGGATTTGGTTCCAAACTCCTTCAACCCAGAGTTTTCATTCTTTCCTTCTGAAAGTTTTAAATTCGCCCTGTTCCTACAGAGAAGGGAGAAAAGTTTCTGCTGCAATCCAACAGAGCTCTTTGAGATAGAATCAAAACTTATTCGGTCCAACTTCGAGTTAATTTACTTTTGAGGTTCTGTTTCATGCATAGCACCTTACCTTCTGAAATAACTTCCTCCTCCCAGCATCTCATATCTCCCATATGGACAGTGCTGGGTTGGGGAACATAGTTCCAGCGCATTTTTGAAAGACTTGGAGATAGCAGCACAGCTCTCGGGATTTTCTTCCAGTTCAAAACCTTTCTCCAAAGGAGCTCAAATTGGGCTTACAAGAACTCCACCTCTCATTTTACGCTTTGGTGAATAAGAGTGACTCCCCAAAGTTATCCAGTGAGCTCCATGGTGCAGTAGGAATTTGAACCTGACTATTCTGGACCCCAGTGGCACCGAAGCAAGAAAGTAGTATGGGTTTGTTCTGATTCTCTACCAGACTTCCTACATCTAGTATTTCTTTCTGCCAGACATTATCACACCATCCCAGGTGTTTTCTGGAAACCTATAAGCAGGGTTGGAAACCATTTGTTCTCTCCCACTGTTTCAAGTGACCAATGAAGCCCAACGTTGGACGAAATTAGGCATATATTCCATGAATTCATAGAACTCCGTTGCAAAGCCAGCGCTAGCCCTTGATCAGACTGATGCAACGGTAGCTACTGGCAGAAACTGCCTCAAAAAACTGCCCAGACCTTACTTCTTGGGGGAAGAGAATAATCTGTTTATTGATATTTCTGCTGCAAATCTCCCAAAGAATTTTTTTTAAAAAAAAGCTATCTCAACCAGGACCAACGCCTTTAAAAAGCAACTGGATTCCCAAAGCTATTGGAGAGACGAAGCTATTTCATCACTTTCACCAGGCTTAATTATTGAGGAGTGTTTCAATTTATTTTCGGAAAAAAAGTTGGGAAATTCAATATTCCTGAGTGTTGTCTCCCGCCTCTTTTCCTGCTCGAGGAAAAGTGGTGGCTCCTCTCTTGGCTTCTTCCATGAAGAGTGGCTAGTCCCTGGCTTTGTAACGGAGTTCGGTAAATTCATGGAATGTATGCCTAACGAATGGACCGTCCAACTTTGAGACAATTGGCTTATAGAAAACATCTGGGGTAAATTAATGGGTGGCCGTCTGGCAGAAAAAGATACTAGATGCAGGAAGTCTGGTAGAGAGTCAGGTACAAATCCATACTACTTTCCGTGCTTCGGTAGACGAAACCAAGCGAGATGTAAACCCAGCTAGTGACACAACAGAATTCCAGATTGGGATTCACTCTTTCCTCCAATAAGCCTTACGGGCAAACCTGGGAAGGTGGAGAGCGAAAGTAGAAGAGAAGAGTGGGAAGCGCAGAATCAATTAACAGAGGCTCTTCTTTCAATGAAATTTAGTCCTCAGTAGGACGAACATATTAAGGGGGGCTATTTAAATATTGCTTATTAAGTTTTAAATTGTTGTCGATAGGTCAACACCCCCCCCCCTTCGCTGTGCAGATTACATCAGCGAAAGCTAATGACTCAGAAGCAGTAAAACCCTTCAAGATCCAGTTTCCCAGAAAGCGGAGATGGAGTGGGTTACAAGGCAATACTAGATCCCTCTTTGGGGCAGCCGGGTTACGTTTCAGCCTAACGCAAGAAAATTTGGAGCAACCCGAGTGCCTCTTTCAACGGGCAGGAGGGCCTTTTGCGTATGCAGCGAACTATTCAAACCTGGGATTCTTTCGCGGGATCCTGCCATTGTGGCTCAGAAAACCGCAAGGATCCCGAAAGGATCCCGAAAGTCAGTTCGCCAACACAGGAATTTTAAACCAGTTGTATAGATCTGGCCATAAATGAACATGTGTGCCGGTGTGTGTTCCCCTCAACTAAACACGGGGGGCGGTGGGGGGGCTTAGTCTGCACAATACCATATACCGTAGATTGTGCCGCGCCGACCTAGTTTAGTGAAAGGTTGTTTCTTTGCAAACTAGCAAGAATGTATCTGCCCTCAATGTGGAAGGGGTTGCCACTCTCGAATTGGCCTTTTTAGTCACACTAGATGTTGTTTTAGGACCTCTTTCCAGAGCACCATACCATAGTCTCTTGAGACTGAAGGATGCCAATGCGAGCAAGTTTCGGAGTAACCTAGAATAAAATGTAGCCCAATTTTTTATTTTTATCCAAGGAGTTTTAGAATCACCCTACTTGCGTTTGAGAGAAAAAAATAAGCAAATCTTGCCCTGATTAAAACTCCATCCCCCCCCCCCCCCAACCGTATACGTGTAAAGAAATAAGTCCCGTTATTTTATGGGACTAAGTTTATGGGCTAACTCGACTGAAATAGGCGTGCAGAGTCTGAGAGGATATTTTGCAGGCACATTGCTGCAACTTTCCTGATTCTGCTTGGTTTCAGGTGTATGTTCAATTTCCATAATTCCTAACCAGCAAAGTTGGCTAGAAACGACAAGATCTGAATTCTAAAATAATCCTGAATGGGACAAATTAGCAAAATTATCTTAAAAGAAAAGGGGGACCCAAACCACCGCTATCATGAACAAGGTTTCCCTTCTGCGAGCTGAAAATTAGATTTAAAGCTGAGCAGAAATCCACCTCCAGGGGCGCAGATCAATCCTCATAATGGACCAAAGGAGGGCTTCATTTCGCCCCCGGCTCTTCCCGCCGGCGCCCCTTCCCCTCTTTTTACATAACTCCCACCACCAGGTAAGTCAGTCTTGAGGTCCCTAACTCCAGCAAGCTGGAGCGCCGTCTTTCCACGCCACGCGGATTCCTCAGAGTATCTACTACTCGGTTTCATTCATAAAATGTGACGCTTGCTGCCAAGGATGGGGAAGTGAGAGAAGCAGTAAAGAAAGGTGTTCAACAATCTCGAAGGGGTCGCACGAAAGAAGCCGACGCTATTTTAGAAGTTGGGATCTGGAGCCAAACGTGGCGAGAGAATAATTTCACAACTGCAGTACAAAATTAAACGACTGATATATGCAGGTTTATAAGTATGAATCTGTACACCGCCGAACAATGCTCTGTTTTTGACCCAGATGGGCGGCGGTAGAAATTGAACAAATAAATAAAATGTTCTGCATACCAACTTCTCTGTGTCTCATTTAAATGCTTATATTATTATTTATTATTTTTTCCCCACCGCGTGAAGGGGAAAGAATGGAGAAACTCGAACGTTTGTAACTATTTTGGAAATCTTCGGCTGACCCCCCCACCAGTAAGGATTTTGAATCGGGCCAAACTTTTCCTTTCTTTGAAGGGGAATTATGAGTCAATGCCTTTTGCTCGAAGAAATGGAGCAGGACCTTTCTTCCCTTTTATGACCATTACCTGAAGTTAGGAGAGTACTATTAAAAGGAATTCCCACCGTCCCCGGGGGCACTTTCCCAAATTCAAGACAGAAGAGTTAGGTTAACCTCACCAGGTGTTTTTTTTTTTTTTTGGCCTGGTAACAGGTGAACCCTCTAGTTCAATTCTGGGAAGGGGATGGGGGTGTTGGGGAAGAGATCCAGCAAAGAGATCGACAGTTACGGTATATTCTTTCTGGATCTGATAAGAGCTTTTGGCTCACGGTTGGTTATTCTCTCTTCAGCCGCCCGTTCGTCCCTTTTGCACTTTTTCCCAGTGCTGGGATAAAAACTCGCTCCTGAGAAAAGGCACCGAGGTTTCCCCCAAACCGCTTAGCATCTCACAAGGAATAACTCTTCGCTCCGTCCGTCCGTCCGTCCACCTCCCTGCCCCTCTATATATCAACCCAAGTCCTCATTTTGGCTGCTCCCATCTCCGGCTCTTCTCAAGAGACGATTTTTTTTTTCACCCCGGTTCCCCCTTTCCCGATCCGAAATAGCGACAGAAAGTGAAGTCCCTTACCTCCGTCCCTTTCGCTCTCACTCTCTCTCTCTCTCTTTCTTTCTTTCTTTCTCTCTTCTTTCTCACTTCCTTTCCAAATTCCGGGAGGATCCTGCAGCCGTAGCGCCGCTTTCTTCAAACGATTTAAGAATGGGGGGCAGAGAGGATGATGGGATCGGGTTTCAAACGAGAAAATGAGTTGACGAAGCCCAAGAGGATCTTTAAAGTCTGAAGCGACAACGTCGAGAGGAGGGACTTGGAGAGGGGGCGGGGCCGGAGGGGGGCGGGGCTTGCACCCGCGGGGGCTAAGGAAGCGCCGGAAGGGTGAGGCGGGGGGGGGTCGGTCTTCTGATGGGATTGGGACTGAGGTGGGATGCGCTGGCCAGATCCTGAAGGGTGGGCAAGAGTTTGGGGAAGGAAAGCGCAACGCTCTTTAGTTAGGCGAGAGGTTTGAAACGGAACGGCGCGCATACCGACCGAAGGTTTTCCTTCACGCAGTTGTCCAACGCGCTCTTTCCCGCAGCCTAACAAATAAGTCAGATTTGAAGAATAATGGCAAACGGGGTTAATACTCTGTAGAACGCACGTTAGAGGGCGTACCAACATCATTGGATGCCCAGGAAAGGCAAGGAGCTCATCCAACCCCCGGTCAAAATGCCAGAGATCGTGAATGTTTTCTGTCTTCTCTTTGGATTCACAGGGGTCTCCAATCTTGGCAACTTTAAGCTTAGAGGACTTCAACTCCCAGAATTCCCCAGCCAGGTCTCCAATCTTGGCAACTTTAAGCTTGGAGGACTTCAGCTGGCTGGGGAATTCTGGGAGTTGAAGTCCTCCAAGCTTAAAGTTGCCAAGATTGGAGACCCCTGCTCTGGAAGATATCCCATTTAAATCCCCCCGCCCAAAGATGGGTTCCCATGTGCATACTAGTGTCTTGATGATAGTGCTATACTAGTGTCTTGAGGCGATCAACTGCTCTGGAGCATCTCAGAAAAAAATATATATATTTAACTTCGGGCAGCCCTATTGACAGCAGAATTTAGTCCTCACTTTCAGTCGACTGAGTAGAGTAAAAATCTAGCGTGAATACCCGGAGATGTCAATCTGCTCTCCGAATTAACGTGAAAACTGGTGGTGGTGGTGGGGGGAAATCTCCAACTGTCTTTTAGAGTCCAATCGTGTTGCTGGTAAATTTTTAAGGGTTTTAAATTGGTCACATTTATTCTGAAGAAGAAGAAGAAAAAAAAAATCCTCAAAGCACCTGAACTGGAACGGCCACCTTGCAGGAAAAAAACCCCCCTCACACTCTGTATTTAAGTCAGGTGGAAAATTGAGGGCAATGGAGTTTTTTTTTAAAAAAAAAAATCATACACATCTTCTACATTGTGCAGTAATGAGCCCCTCAGTTCTGCACATTTTTTTCTAACTTCCCCGGAAAGAAAACAAGGAATATTAAAGTTATAATCTGTCTTCATCAGTAAGAGAAATATTCTGGGAAGGTATCAAATTCTGGTTCCAACTTGTCCATCTGAATCTATCAATAAGGACGTTTCTTTTGATTTTGACCTGCCTCTTCCACATAAGGTTTCTTGGTCCAACTCATGTCATTCCTTGTCAAGATTGCCTGCTGAAGTTGAAGTCTGGAATATTATGGGGGCACAGAATTCGATGGGGGGGTGGGACAGATTTTAATGCCACGCAAGGGAGAAGGTAAATTGCTACAGCTCAGAGATGGGGAGGAAGCTTTTGGCACTTCAGATGAACAAGAGCCCCATTCTTAGTATTTGGTCAGTTAAAAAGAGAACTGGAATGGAATCAAATGCTTCCGTGGAGGTAATAGAGAGGGTCTACTGTATTTACTCTGAAATGTAAAATAGAATCAATTGTGCATAACTTGAATCAATTAGTTTGACTCTAAATTAAAACGGTTTTATTAACATAATATTTCTTCCATGCATTCATTGCACATGATTTCATAGCCCCGAGTCCCATGACCTGCATAGGATGGTGTCACCTATACATCTACATATATGCAAACCGAGCCATTCAGCTGACTTGGCTGCTTTCTGAACCAGCCAATTCAGGTTTTCCAAGCCATTGCGGGGCAGGGGGGGGATATGCAAAGACAGAAGGTGAAGGTCATGGAGGGTTACAAGATAGTTCCCCCTTAATGATCTCACACCCATTTGTGTTCAGAATCAGAATGACTCGAGAGTGGACTGAGGAACTGCAGAATAAACCACACATGTTGCAGCACACACACACACGTTAGTTACCAAACTAACTCCAGATGGGTTTGGGCTTTAACACCAATCACTGGGAGTCCAGCACATCTAGAGGGCACCGTCTGGGGAAGGCTGGCCTAGCCTCATCAAAGAGGAGCACATGTTTTGAAAGCAAAGGCCATTCCTATACATAGCAGGGGTGAAATCCAGCAGGTTCTAACAGGTTCTGGAGAACCGGTAGCGGAAATTTTGAGTAGTTCGGCAAATACCACCTCTGGCTGGCCCCAGAATGGGGTGGGAATGGAGATTTTGCAATATCCTTCCCTCAGGAGTGGGGAGGGAATGGGAATTTTACAGTATCCTTCCCCTGGAATGGGGTGAGAATGGAGATTTTGCAATACCACGCCCACCAAGCCACGCCCACAGAACCGGTAGGGAAAAATTTTGGATTTCACCCCTGATACATAGGATCTGGAGTTGTCACTTCTGACAAGTGTCCTGACCTCAGTGCTGAGTTGCTGGAATCAATGATGGACTCAGGAAGTGGATTCAGAGAAACAAAAATGTGAATCTTCCACTCAAACGATGCATTTAACTGTTCATTATCTGGAATCTACTAGATTCGGCATAAGCGTCTGCCGTCTACTGTACATCTATGTCTCTCTTTATATATTTATATCCATCTTGCCTTCATCAGCTGAAGGTGGCTTATGTGTGGATCCGCCTCTATTTTAGCTACCCTGTTTTATGGCCCAGTCTGGACACAAAAATGAGTCTTGGGAGTTCTCGTTCCCTATTTTTATCTCTATACCAAACTGGCTTTCTTAAGCCCTTCATCCTTTATCAGTTCCCCAATTTCCTGAGTCTGAATGTGGGTTCTTGGAAAGGCTCCGCCTGTCCTTTTTTTGCTGGCCCATCAGTTTAGAATTATTTCATTGCTTTAAAAATCACAGAGGCAACTGCCTTGTATTAAATCCAGTTATCCTTCCATCTAACCTAGGAGTGACAGCACAGGCAACCAATCCACAGGCAAGAAATCTTCTATTTCTATCTAGAGATGAAACGAATTGATCTGAGGACTTCAGGGAAAGCCTGTACCCTACCTTTGAAGATTACTCAAAAGCTGCAGCATGATTATAACGCAGAAGCACAAAGAATGATGGGTTATTTTAATCAACCCATGTAATTCTTCTGCTATGTAGTCTGCGCTAGTTCCCACTGGGCTTCTAGGCACAATTCAATGCACCGTTCATTATAAAGTCCTTTGTGGATTAGGACCTGGATATTTCTCCAATTGTCTCTGCCTGCCACATAAGATTAGACATTGGCAGCCATCTCTATCAGTGGTGGGTTTCAGATTTTTTTACTGCCGGTTCTGTGGGTGTGGCTTGGTGGGCATGACATGGCTTGGTGGGCGTGGCTTGGTGGGCGTGGCAGGGGAAGGATACTGCAAAATCCCCATTTCTTCCCTATCAGCTGGGACTCAGGAGGCAGAGAATAGATGAGGGCGGGACCAGACAGAATTTTTACTACCGGTTCTCTGAACTACTCAAAATTTCCACTACTGGTTCTCCAGAACTGGTCAGAACCTGCTGAAACCCATCTCTGATCTCTATCCATTTCATCTTATGGGACTCAGGAAATGTGTCTTCCCTATTGCTCTGCTTGTCTGATGATGCAGCATTTTCCACATGGAGGTCTGCATGACCCTGACTCTATGTCTTCAAAAGAGCCTTAATGACTTGACTCTTCTCACAGGCACATGGCAAGAGGACATTGTGTGAACCCACCACTGAGATTCTTTGTTCTTTTTAATTTTTTTTAGGGTTTCCCCAGTGGTGGTATTCATCCGGTTCTATCCAGTTTGGGCGAACTGGTAGCGGCGGCTGTGGGAGGCTCTGCCCACCCGCCCAGATGTCATCACATCCCGTTTTTGATGCTCTGCATATGCGCAGAAGGTCCTGCACATGCGCGGAGGTGTCGCGCATGAACGCTCACATTTGCGAACCGGTAGCGAAGTGAATACCACCACTGGGTTCCCCCCCTCCCCCCCAGCAGGGTCATTTTTATTATTGTTTATTAACTGAACATATTGCTCAGGTGGCTTTAACATGTGTGACAAGTCCTATAGATGTGGGTGATTGTAAAGTTAACTTTGTAACTAAATATTCTGGATTGAGTGCATCATGGAATCATGCTTGCAGATGTCGCATTGTTTTCTGCTAAATGGCAGTATCTAACCCCTTTGGCTGAGGTAAGCAGAGTTGGCCTTGGGAGATCACCAGAAGAAAAGTTGAGAAAACATCCCGGGGAAAAAAGCAATAGCAAACAATTCCCAGCTATCCTGTTTCCCTGAAAATAAGACATTCCCTAATAATAAGCCCAATCGAGTTTTTGAGCGCATGCGCTAAAATAAGCCTCCCCCCAGAAATAAGCCCTCCTCTAAAATATTTAAAAGCAGAGCAGAGGAAATCAGGTAAGACGGCAAGAGAAGCCCCATCTTGCTCCACACGCCCCAAAATAATAAGACCTCCCTGAAAATGAGACCAAGCGCTTATTTCAGGGTTCAAAAAAATATAAAACAGGATCTTATTTTGGGGGAAACATGGCATTTTCGAGAAAAGTACATAAACCTGTTGTTGTAGTCACCAAAGTTAAGCTTGCTGAAATGATGCTTTTTACCTTTAGCACTTGCCCCTTCTAACACAAAGTCAAAATACTAGACTTTCCAATAGAAGAGGATTTGTCATACCTTTGGAGGAAAACAACCACCAGTTAAAAAGTCAAGGGAAGGGGGATCAAGTAACAAACAAACACACACACACACACACACACACACACACACACCATTTTATGTAACTAACTTAGGGTATTGAATATGGGTGGCA